ATTGGTGTGTATATTTATTGTTTGCTTATAGAGAAAACTCTTCTTGTTTTTTAGAGAAACTGAACAAGGGGCAAAAACTTTACCCTCGATTTTCTCAAAACAGCAGTTTTCGGGATAGCCCTCATGAGCTTAAAAGAGACCCCCACATACAGGACAATACTATTGTGCTATGATTGCTACGTCGTGCCTCCTTTGTTTTCTCTATAAACCCCGGGCACGGCAGGAGGCTAAAAGACGTTCTCTCTCTCTTTCTTGCTCTCTCTCTCTCTCTCTCTCTCTCTCTCTCTCTCTCTCTCTCTCTCTCTCTCTCTCTCTCTCTCTCGGCCGCCATCCAAGCAAAATTCAAAATTTCCTATCAAAATTTTAAAAAAACAACAACAAAATTTTAATGTGTTCTGAGCGCTCATATGACCTAATGCAGTTACGAGCACCGTAAAACACTTACATGTAACAAAAAACCCAAAACAAACAACAACAAAAACATGTACCAAAATGTATGGCTCTTTTCGTCTATGCAGACGGTCAATTTAGCTTAAGATGGCCTCAAGGTTGTCTTCATGCAGCTTCTTTCATGGCTAATTCTTCCTATGTTTGAAGCTCAGATTCTGTCGCAGTGCTTGCATGTCAGTGACGTAGATCGAAGCTCTGTATTTCCGCTGTTTTCCTTTCGTCGTTGGCTCTTCTCAGCCTGGTCGTTTCTAAGGCTGTTCTCTAGCATTTTAGTTCTTTCCTTTATAATTTTCCTCCATGTTTTCCGGTCCTCAGCTATTTCGTCCCAGATGTTAAAATCTACTCCAAGCTTAGATAAACTGTTTTTGCAGGTGCCTTTGTACCTCAATTTTGGTACCAAAATAACAAACAAACAAAACACAAATAAACAAATCAACAACAACAAACAAACAAAAAACGCACTTTTATTACTTAAATGTGTTGCAAGTACCGTAAAACTAGACGAAAAAAAAAAGAAAAAAGAAGGAACAAAAAGGATGCAAAAGGAAGCAAAAGGAGAAAAAACCGATAGCTAAAAGAGACCCACCCCCACAAACAGGACAATACTATTGTGCTATGATTGCTACGCCGGGCCTCCTTTGTTTTCTCTATAAACTCCGGGCACGGCAGGAGGCTAAAAGACGTTCTCTCTCTGTTTCTTGCTCTCTCTCTCTCTCTCTCTCTCTCTCTCTCTCTCTCTCTCTCTCTCTCTCTCTCTCTCTCTCTCTCTCTCTCTCTCTCTGATCTGGGCTCTCCCTGACCTCTGCCCCATTCCTGACGTATGTGCTCTGACGATAATATAGTGTAAAGCGCAAAGAGCCTGATGTTGAGCGGGGATATGCGCTATACAAATGCTATCTATCTATTATTAGAGGAGATTTTAAAAAAAAAGAAAGTTTTTGTTTTAGTAAGGGTCGCAACTGCATCAGGTCATAGTATGAGGAAAGGGAAAAAAAGAGCTTGGGTTTGATTTGACTAAAATTAGGAACTGCTTAAAACACACACACACACACACACACACACACACACACACACACACACACACACATACACACAAAACACCAACCCACCAACCAAACAAAAAACCCCCAACAAACAAACAAACAAACAAACAAAAGCTTGCGTTTGATAGGAGTAAAACCAGGCACTTTTTAAAACAATTAAAAAAAACAACAACAACCCAAAATGCACCCCCCTCCCCCAATAAAACAAGACAATACAAAACAAAACAAACAAAAACGAGCTTAAGTTTAGTTTGAGTAGAATCAGGCAGTGGTGTTTGATTTAGTGCCGGGATGAAACAGTATCCGACTAACTCTTTACCTGCCCTGCACTTAACGACCTGCGTAGCACCTACCTACCTGCCTTCCCAGACATCGGAAATACTATAACTGTACAGCGACAAAACACAGCTGATAAAAACCTGTAAATTTTTTGCCACATCGACAGGCCGAAGGTCTAGAACCCAGATGGCCCCTGGATCGGAAAAGTAAGTAAGTGTTTGATTTTCTTGCGTTGGTCAGGGGCATGGGAGCTAAATCTTGGCGTTGAAAACTCGCCCAGTTCTGTTTGTTTTGTTTTAGTAGTGGTTTTACGGCGCTCGCAACTGCACAAGGTCATTATGAGCGCCAAGGGGTGGATGTCAACAGAGAAGTCTTTACAGGGAATCAGACTTACTTAGCTCACCTCTCCAGCTTCAACAGCACAAATTCATCAAGGCACCTCGGAAAAAGCGGGTCACAAGAAAGAGTGTAACAAACATACAAAAGAAGTAGAGGAAAAATGACGACAGTAAGGATTAGGAAAGAAAAAGCAGCAGTTCCCTGTTGCAGTTCAGGCACAATTAGGAGCATGACATTGATCAATGAGTCCATTTACAATTCTAGTGTGCATAAGAACATGCTAATGTCCCCCCTTCGGGAATGGCATAAAGACACTTCAGTCAGTAGCTCCGCCCCGGGGGATCTCTCTCAGTCTCCCCCACTTCGACTAGTTGACAATTTCAAGGCAAGTGATTTCTAAGCCTGCGAGCGAAAGGAAAGAGCGGCGCTTCGTTGAGTGAAGGGGACCGTATTCTTGACCTCTCTTGAGATTGTCAACAACAACAAACAAACTAAAATGAAACACTCCCCCCCCCCCCCTATTTTCCTGTCTGTCTGTTATTAGCTCCGGTGGCCTAGTGGTTAGGCTCTCGGGCTTGCAAATGTTAAGGTCGTGGTTTCGAATCCCGCCTTGGGCTCGACGTTTTGTCCTTGAGAAATACTTTACACAGATTTTCCCCACTTCACCCAGGTTGGAACAGGTACCCGGCTACAGACAGCGATCGATTTTGTCAGTTTGTTACCCCCCCCCCCCCACGGGCAATGCTACTGTCTGTAGCGTCTTTGGTCCATTCTCAAAGGAGGGATATTAAACATGTTCTTATGCAGACTAGAATTGTAAATGGGCTTATTGATCAATGTCATGCTAATACTGTGCCGGAACAACATAGGGGGAACTGCTGCTTTTTCTTTCACCATCCGTACTGTAGTCCTTTTTCTCTACTTTTTTTGTATGTTTGTCACTCTCTTGTGAACTGTTTTTTTGTACGTTGAGGCTAGAGAGGTGAGCAGAGTAAGCCTGATTCCCTGTTTGGACTTCTCTGTTGACATCCATCCCTTTGCATCGTAAAAACCTTACTCAAACAAACCTGTCAGTTTGTTACTGTTTGAGCACGTGAAACCTACAGCTTGCATTGTACGCTTTTCGGAAAGCTCAGAATGTTTCTGAGTTTTTCATTTTCGTAAGAGTTTTACCGCTCTTGCAACCCAATAAGGCCATATGAGTGCCGAAGATTAGAGATGCTACAAGGGAGTAACAAACACAAAAAAGAAGAAGGGTAGATAAGGACGATGGATGTTTGATAGGAAAGAAGAAGCAAATCACACCAGAGCAAGGAGATTAAAAGTTTTAAACTCCTTGCACCAGAGCCATCTCCAACCGTCCACTGTTTCTGAGTGTTGTAAGATCTGCAGGAGTACAGCATCAGTAAAGCGCTTTAAAGCAATGGGGAGAGTCTGAATATGCGCTATAATATGCATCATCATCATCATCATCATCATTATTATTATTATTATTATTATTATTATTATTATTATTATTACGATCATCATCATCATCATCATCATCATCATCATCATCATCATCATCATCATCATTTTATTTTTTATTTATTGTTATTTATTATTATTATTATTATCATTATTATTATTATTACTATTGTCCTCATTATTATTATTTTATTTATTGTTATTTATTGTTATTGTTATTATTATTATTATCATTATCATTATTATCATTATTATTATTATTATTATTATTATTATTATTATTATTATTATTATTATTATTATTATCATCATCATCGTCATTATTGTTGCTGTTGTTTTTTATTACTCTATCTTTTTCAATATTTCCTTCACATAGGCAAACCTTTTTGTTGTTACTTTTTGGGAAAAAGGAGGGAGTGGGGTGGGGTGGGGGTGGGGGGCGTGCGACATGTAAAAGTTGGGGCTCACCTGTGCTTTACTTTCGACTTTGTTTTGAATGTTTTCAGTTGATTCAGGTACTGCACGTGGGCGGTTGGTGGGTGTTCACTTGTGGTTTGCTCCTTCTTTCCTATCAAACATTTTATGTCATCCTTATCTCTTCTCTTTCTTTGTTTTGAGTTGGCTACTGCCTAGTAACACCACTAATTGTGGGTGGTTGGTGGGTGCTTTGGTGTGGTTTGCTCCTTCTTTCCTATAAAAATATATCGTCTCTAGACTCTCTCTCCCCTCTTTTTGTTTGTTTGTTACTCTCTTGTAACACCCATACACTTGGGCACTTATAAGACCTTATTGTGTTGCAAGTGCAGTAAAACACTTACTAAAATAAAACACCCAGACACAAGCAGACACGCGAACACACAGTCACTCACATCCCCCTGCCGTTTCCCACACTCACACGGGTACTGTTGCTGCTTCCGTGACTCAAATCTACCTGAGATTTCAAAAACTGATCTCACTCCAAAGTAGTTCAGCATGCGAAAGGGCTGACCGAGCAGGGGGAAAAAGAACGAACGAACGAAGGAACAAAAAAAAAAAGAACAACAAAAAAGATTTAGAAAAAAAGGCTTCCTCCTCCCTCCTTTAGTCGGTCCGCTGAGAACTTTGTTCCCCTCTCCCTCTCTTTTCTTTCCCTGTTGAAAGCCGGGCTCCGTTTGTGCATTCCGCGCTTCGCAAGCTACAAACCCTGGACATTGAGACTTTGTTTGACGACGGACACAGTAAACTAGCTTAATCTAATTCTTTTTGCGCACAACATTTTGCGCGCGACGCTTCTACCGCGCGGGGAAACGAACGGGAGCTACCCGAGAGTCAGATGTATGGTGATTGGAGCAGAGGCGAGAGAGAGAGAGAGAGAGAGAGAGAGAGAGAGGGATCATGGCTCGCGCGCTCGTACGAGAGGAGACCAGGTCCAACGCAGCGTCGGTTCTCTCCCCTCGCATCTCACTGTGGCTTGCGTCTGTCTGCCCCGGCGCTTTGTTGATTTAGATGTCTGGTTTCGGTGTAGTGGATTCATTTGTAGGCCCTAGTGGTAAACGCTAGTAGTGTTCCAGTTTGAATCTTCCAAACTTTGCAAAGTGTTCATCTTCTCATCCCTGAACTTTTGAAGCCTGGTGGCAAACTACGTACAGAAGTGGATTATCTCTTCAATTCCGAACTCTGTGCCTTGTGGTTGTGGTAAGTGCTTTCTTTCATTCATAATAGTGTGTGTAACGGTCCGCTGAAACAATTCGTTCAATGCAAACCAAGAATGTGTTGAACTTTTAACGCCTCTGTGCCGAGTCCATAGATCGTTATATCTCCCCCACCACGCTCGCTACCCAACATTTTTGCAAAGTAGATAAAAACGAACTAGATCTAGATTTAGGTATCTAGAAAAGTGCTTTATGTTAGACTATTTAAGCTTGGGATGGGTCCCTGAATAAAAAACAACCCGTTTTTGTTTTTTTTTAAAGAGAATCATTTACAGCTCGAAGACTTTTTGACTTCTCGCGGAATCGTGTTGCGTTGAAGATTTCAACTTTCCCTGCCCAGGGAGTGAGAGGAGGTGATGGTGGTGATGGTGGTGGTGGTAGCCTAGTGCCCCCCAAAAACTGTGCGAGAATTCTCACCCGGTTTTTCGTTTCCACCCTTTTTATTTCGTCACTGGATCGATAACAACATTTCGTTTAGGTTTGAGTTATGGGATGGTGGGATTCAACACTGATCAAAAAAATCTTTGAAAAAAAAGTTTTTTTCACTACTTTTTTTTTCACCCCTACAATAGGCTACAAGCAGTATCCCAAACTTTCAAAGCCTTGTGTTCAGATGACTCCGGTTCAAAAGACGTTCAACAGAAATCTCATTCACTTATAAACAGACATCTTCATCTGAAATTTTTTCCTCACTGGTTTCAGAAAATTTTTCATCTAAATCGCTCATTGTGCGGTAATTTTGGCTGAAAATGAAAGAACAACACTACTACAATGCGATACGGTAGTCTCATAGTCCATAGTTGTATTCTCAGACCGGGTGAGTTGGGGGTTGGCGGGTGCTCTGGTGTGGTTTGCTTAGTAGATTCTTTCCATCAAACATCTATCGTCCTTGTCTCCCCTTTTTCTTTTTTAAAAATGTTTGTTGCTCTCTTGTAACAATTCTAATCTTCTGGCGCTCATATCACCTTATGCAGTTGTGAACGCCGTAAAACCTCTACCAAATAAAATAGACCGGATGAGAATAAATTGGATCGGATAAGAATAACCCCAGCCCCCCC